ATGGATGATACCACACAGCTACAAGAAGGCCACAGTTGCTCGTCGTAATGCCAGACCCCGAGTAACTGTATTGTAGGGCAGTGCTGGGACAAAAACAATACTGAGTCCTGGGTTCAATCACTCCGTTCGCCCATCACATAGCCGTGCGATTTCAACTGTTCTAGTCAGGCGAGAGTACTCTCCGACGGCAAACGCTACAATGTTTTATCATTTGCCGAAATTGCCATCAACAGCAATTTACTCACATCTGTTGGGAAATCGACGGTACCAGTGATCCAAAGGCTTTCGGGGCCCTGGGAGCGGGTCATTGGTGAAGGATGGATTTATTTAACCAAGCTAAAATATCACTTCTTTATCTATTCTCCTCTTGTTTTATTGAAAGAAGCCGTCGGCACTTTTGAATGGGATGACCTAATAATACACCCCATGCTCACTCTGGGTACGGGAGAAATACTACCTCTCAAGTGGTCTATCGTAGTCCATTAAGCGCCAAAACAATCACAATGGCCCTCCTAATCAACTCTGGACAGTGTGTATTTCCTATCCATTTGCTGTACCTAATAATGGAAGTATAAGGCGAACACGATCGCAGTGTGGTTAGATGGAGCGCGAGACACACTGCTACTTCGCAGTGGTAGTACTACGCTGCAAAAGCATGCAACGTAGGCTGATCATTTACCTTAAGCAGCCCCTCTTCGTAGGCTCAACATTAGGCAACCATCAACCACGAACATGATGGAGATGTATCCACGAGACATAAGGATTTCTTTCTGCATTCTCGTGGAACAACACTCTTCCAGCTTTTATGCGACGTTTCGAGTCCAAAACCCTTATTCAGGCCCACAGGAGCATTTTAACCGATTACATACGTAAACATCATAATCAAGACTTGTACAAGAAACTGCCACAAAAACGAGATTAACAAAAAAATCCATTGTTTTCCACTAACGGAGAGGTACATATTAGAAAGGAACGAGAGACCTCACAGGGATCGCCTGTACGAGCACAGAATTTCGCGGCTGACTCTAGTAGCGATTTCTCCAGCCACACCTCAACGCATCGCACAACTAGACCTGAGAGCGAGAACGCTTCATCGTTCGATTGATCCTTGAAGAAATGCCGTTGGAAAGGAAAAGCTTGGATGCACGAGAAACCCATCGCCTGCAGCCACAGAAAAAACGCGAGGGAAGAGTTACGTGACCTAAAGACCGACCGCCTTATAGAAGAAAATCCATTTGCCTCAGGACTGAGGAGTCTTTTCTTCATTTATGTAGCCGCGCTAGCCTCTTAACCTGTCCTCTTCGATGGAAAAAAGCAGCCAAATAGCTGGCGGAGAGGGCAAGAATAATTTGCAGCTGATACCCTCTAGATCGCCGTACGTCACTTGCCTTCAGCTAGCCACATCCTGTACCGTGATAATTTCTGTTTCCTTGCAGTTCTCTCCCATGCTGCTGATAGGAAGACGTTTATCGTGCTCCCGAATACCTTTATTTTCTTTCTTCGGGTCACAAACATTGCTGTGAATACGCGGACCTTTATTTTGGGCGTGCTCCAGTGTATGTATAATACCAGAAAGCGTTGCCCTTTGTTCGTCAAGAAAACAGGAAGGGATGGGATAAACTATGAATATTAGGAATGTTGAAATCCTATCCGATACAAAAGAATGTTCAAAAAATTACCTTTAGAGTCGCCAACATGGCTGTCGTCGGGCTGTCGGAGGTGTTTGAATCAGGACCACAGTCAGTGAGCTGGCGTCGTAGGTGTGCGTGCTTTGAGCAGCGACACACATAAATGACTGCAGCAACATGGAGCAAAAACTGAACAAAAGTATTTGACTTTTTCTATACTTTTACGGTTCAACTGTGAAACTTGAAAACTTCTACTTTTTACCAATGATGCAACAGAGAGCCGAGCTTTCATTATCAAGCACTACTGTACAGTAATCAAACAGGGTGCAAGACGTCACCTTAGTGCATTGACCCAACGAAGTTCTGCAGGTAATAGTTCTTCATTACCGTGTTTTCCTTATTCACGAACTTCCTGTGAATAGAGCCGCGAACGCGGCCAGTGTTCTTTCAAACTTTCTTTTTACGTTTTTTTTTGTTCTTATATATGTAAAGGACTACACTTCAAAAAAAATTGGAAAAGCCACAAAATCTCGTTTCAAGTATCCTAAAGCTCCTATTCATCACCAAAGCGATGAGAGGACAAGTAAACAGCGGAAGGAAAGAAAAACATGTTCTCAGGGCACACACTTGGTTTATTTGATTGTTTTGACTAAAAGACAGCCCCCGCCATCAAGTAGTACATGGTCGTCCTTTCTTGTGCAAGTAGTGCAGCCACCAAGCTAGAGACTTTCCCACTCGCACGACGAAACAGCGAGCCAGGAGAGAAGTTCTGAAAATTCTAGTTTTAACGCCCGCTCAGTTGGACCGCCCACTTGCTAGATGCCCTCTGACGGAGGGCCGCTCAGTTGTTCTTTGTTGGGCGGCGGGCATTAATCGGAATCGCATGCCCTTTTTGCTGACCGCGCTCGTGCCCATGAATGATTCTGCTCTCCTTTATTACATTTTATTCATTAGGAGCACATACAGTCAACTCCAACCCATCTCGCAAGGTAAAACGCGTAAAAATCACGAGCGACCCAATTTTCGTGGTGCAAAAGCTCGACGTACTACTCTACACTAAAAGATGAAGGGATTTCTGAGCCAGGGCTTGCACAGAGACCGCAGGGAGGTGACCATCAGGGAGCGATTTTGTTTATGGTGTTCTTGAGGACTCTTCTTGCTTTTTTCTTCTTTGGGGAATTACTTATCAGCTACTGTTTCATAATTGAAAAGCAACTATCCATGTCACTTTTATCGCGGGAGCTGTCTTTAGTTATAGCTTTCATCTTCCGTGGAATCGACAAAGAACGGACGTTTGCGAAGAACGTCACTGAGACACTCGGTGCTAGGCCTTAGATGCCACAGCCTACTCCTCACATAATTCTTTGTATGCTTGGGGCCTGTTTGGTTCATCTGAAAATATTTCTTCAAGGAATAGTTGCTTACATCAACAATATTTCGATACCAAACCCAAAGAAAACCACGTAATAATTGACAGAAAATCCCACTCTTTGGCTTGTTTCAAGTTTTTTTTTCTCCACGATTGTATATTGAGCATGGTAAATGATAATGAATTCGCCATTGATCGATCTCTTTTGGGATACGGTACGCATTCCACTGGCAGTCAGAATCGCAGTGACTTTTTGAATGCGCTGTGACCTGTAAAATGACTTGAGGGTGTACAAGTCGGGGTTTCGCATTCCCTCCTCCCTAGATGAATCTGAAACCAATTTTCCGTCCCCAAAGGAAAGAAGGCTCGATTAATCTGACCGCGAGCTGGTCCCGAACCTCCGCACAGCGTGGCAAACGTGCCGCTTGCTACTACACCACCCGCCGCGTCATATTGATCGAGAAGTGTTTGAAGGAAATAGAAGTTAGAGTTTGCGAAAAAGCTCAGAAGCTGTTGCTGGGTATAGAAACTTTATGCGTCTCCGTGCAAGCGTGATATCTCAGGAATATATTAGGTTGTTGCATAAGTTCTTATACACGACTTTTTTGTAAATATCTCAAAAACGAACCAGCCTGGAGATTAGAGGTATGCACCATCACCATTCACTACTCGACGCCAGCGCTCAGGCAGCTTGTCGATTCCATCCTTCCAGAACGACGGAGGCTGGGACTTGAAGAAGTCGTCGAGCGCCTTTCTGACCTGATCCTTTGTTTCGAATTTCCGTCCAGATAGCGCTGCAGGTGGCTGAACAGCCAGTAGTCAGAAGGAGCGAGGTCAGGGCTGTAGGGAGGGTGGGCGACCATCAGCCATCCGTACTTCTCCAGCTCGGCCTGGGTCGCCTTTGCAGTGTGAGGTCGGGCGTTGTCATGGTGGAAGTAGATTTCCGCATTCCTTCCACGAGTACGGTCGACGTGATCTTTCAATTTCCGCAGCTGGGTCACGTATGTGGAAGCGTCAATCGTCTGTCCCTTCTCCAGCAGCTCCCAGTACTCCATGCCTCTTCTGGACCACCAACAGGACAGGAGAACCTTTTTGGGGTGAAGGTCGGCCTTTGGGGTGGCTTCTGGCTGTTCTCCTTTGTCGACCCACTGCCGCTTCCTCACAGGGTTATCGTAGAGGACCCACTTCTCATCTCCAGTGATCATCGAGTTGAGAAAGTGAAGCCTCTTTTGGAAAGTGAGGAGAGAAGTGCAGGTGGTCACCCTCCTCGAGAGGTCATAAGCGGACAGTTCATGTGGGACCCATCGACCAAGCTTTGCTACCTTGCCGAGCTTTTCTAGTCCACGTGCAACCGTCGAATGATCATAGCTAAGCATGGTCGCCATTTCTCTGGTGGTGAGGTACGGGTCCTCCTCCACGGTGGAACGTAGTACTTCCAAATCCAACTCCATCGGCCGACCCGACCTCGGAGCATCTTCGAGAGAAAAGTCTCCTTTCTTGAATTTGGCGAACCAATTCTTGCATGTCATGTAAGAGATGACGTCCTCACCGTATGTATCCACCAGCTTGGTATGGGCTTCCTTTGCATTCCAGCCGAAATCGTGGAGCAAAACCAAACAGTGGCGCAGGTACGTTTTGTCACAGTGCAAATTGTGCGACATTGTGTACTGCAAATGCAAGCTCGGTGAGTGATAGCTAGTGTAATGAAAGAGTATAATGTACACGTCACGCACACGTGATGACGTAATACCAACATCCATGCGAACGAAATAGGAGAGGATCAAACACGTGTATAAGAACTTATGCAACAACTTAATACATTTGTCGTGCTGTGGGCATCTATTTCATATTGTAGCTCAAAAACCTCGAATTCTCTGCAGTTATACTACAGACCACTAAGATAGCAAAAATTACCATCAAATAGTGAATAATTCCGAGGACGCGTAGGACTCGAAAAAATTACAAGCACTCGAAAAATTACAAGCAAGTCGTCATTTTATATTTTATTTTTTCTTTTTGTATAAATGAGCTTTCCTCACCAGAATGAAAACAGAAAAACATAAGACAACAGCGTAAGCAGCAGCAAGCACCATCATGCTAGTAGACACTTTGAATTTACGCCAATGCAAGGCACCACTGATGATTCCGTTGCACATCAGCATCGTGAAAGCAACCTGAAAAGAGAAATTGCAAAACTGTCTCATTGTCCGTGATATAAAAAATACATAGGTAAAAATAATAAAATGTAGTGGGATTAGAGAAAGTGCACTCACTTCGACTAGCACACTCGGCAGCACCATAATCACCTTCAACCAGAGTGGAGCGGAAGCACCGGACTTTTTCTCAACCTCGCAACGGTATAATGCAAGCAACATAAGCAAGGAACTAAAAGTGGACTACAATTTTTGAGAAAGCATGGAAGCTCCAGTTTCCCGCTCTCAGAAGAATGTTGAAGAATATGTGTGAGAGACCACAAAGGGTGTCCCAAAGGGGTCCCGGAGTCAGAATAAAGCGACAAAAATTACTTATTGTGGGAATAGCGCGCCGTGCCGCACGGCCAGCCACACGCCTAACTATGGCCGAGCGCACTATTTGTCTGCACCCTCTTACTTCTGGTTGCTCTCTACCCCTAAAATGCCTCTTTCGCTGCGGTATCGACGCTAGCGCTGCCCACTGAGGGTAGCGCGGAAGGAGCATGAAGACGACAGCTGAAGAGAAAATTATCCCTACTGCAGCTGCTTACCATGCTTCGCAGGTGGCAATGACCGTTTTCGAAGGTGCGTGAGAGTTTGTCAAATGTGGGATTCAAATATTGATCTTGCTATCATAGTTTTGGTGGTCAAATCTTCATGATAAAACTGTGCTAGAGTCAAACAAAAATCAAAGTTGTCACCTGGAAAGTGTGAAGAACAACAGACCGGTGCAAACGCCTTCTGGCAAGTCCTGGACAAGCCACTGTGGTAAACGCAAAACAATCCAGTGAAGCCACAGACACGATGGTCGTCTGGAAGTGTGAAGGGTGTTTTTGCAACAAAGGAAAGACAGCTCCTCTGTAAAAAGTAGGCAAGATCCATTGAACTCATAGCCTATGTCCTCGCGCAAGAAAAAAAAGAATGACCTAGGCATTACTTAGACGCGCATATTAACACTTAAAGTTGCATGTTCTTCCCTTCTGACTCAGGTATAACGTTCGTTGTCGTACAGCATCCGTGTCGCGGACTACCTGTACCTCTGACTGAATAATTTGACATAGTCTTAAAAGCTCTTCTTTGTGAACATTCCTTTAAAGTAATTCTAGTTCTTTGCTATCCCAAAAACAATATGAAAATAGCAAATACAAGTAAAATGAATGGGAAGTAGGCAACAGATTTACCGAACTGGCCTAGAAAAAAAATCTAGATAAACCCCCAACACTCACAAGCATATTTTGACTTTCGGAAAACCTTCGGAAGTCGTCAGGTCGTCTTCATCGTAACAAAGTACGTCGAGTTCCAGATTAGCGTGAATAGATCGCAACACATATAGAAGCATTAGCACTTGTTTAATAAGTGCAAAATACTGAAAAAAAAATGTTAGGAAGAGGAATTAAGGAAATAACGGCCTTCTGTAACAAACGCTATTAGATCTCAAACCATCTGACAGGAAAAAAGGCTAGTTTCGTAAGCTCCATTCGGAGCTTGTTCCTTTGAAATTCCAGCACCCTTCAACAACATGGTCCAGGGGTGGCGGACCCGCGAGGGAAAGGGAGATTCCAAGGCACAATGGAACACGCGGGCTTTACGCGGTAGAACACAATCTGGGAGGAAACGATGAAGCAGATTCTCCAGGGCGAAGTTCGCTTTCTGTCACCTCGTCGTATTGTGCGTCATCAAAGGAAGTATCCACTAGGAGAAAGGCGAAAGTGTGAGTTCAAAGGGGCAAATTAACACCACTACTAACATTACTACAACTGAAGGCTAATTTCAATGAACACGACCAGGAGCGCTAGCTCACACCTGTACGTATGGGCCAAATATTGCAGTGTTTGGGACACCTTTCGGTGGAACTGTTTAGCATCTAGCGTATCAGTCTCCATTCATCAGGGTGAATATTTTTTAAAAGCTTCCTGGAGCTGCGGCCTGAATGTTCAAGGGAAAGCATTAAATGACAGACATCATCAGTTGACAAGGTCCCCAATGGTTATGAAAGCCTCAGGAGCCGCAGATTATTCCAAAAGTTCGTCGTCACCGTCGCCTAAAAACAAGGTAGCGGAAAGCGGGTGTAAATGTCGTGGCCTTGCTAAGGGATTTTGTTGCCAGTTGAACAAGGAGAACTGTTTCGTTCATATCATCTCTGCTCCTTCTTATGAACATTACCTTTATGTAAACGAATCCGCCATCACCTTTCCACCACTGATTCTTCCTTTCCGAACTACTGTTACTGTTTACAGTTCTGTCCATCACACTTGCTGATGAACGCATACTATTGGGCGTGAAACGAATGCGATTCATAGTGGAAGAGATGGTTGTCAGCAGGTGGTGGACAGACAACTGTCCCTTCACTCGCAGAACATTCGTTGGCTTTCAACCCTCGCGCCTAAAATGATCAGTTCTTAGGAATCGAATGGAGAGAACCGCAGTCTTGTTCGTTGCGGGTGATAGGGCGTGTCAGGCGGGATGGATTTGGCGCACCAATTTTCCACGGAGCGGGTAAGCGACAGCAGTTGGTGGAAAACGACTGTTACAAACGATATGACATTCTTGTCGCTTGCTCGCTTCAAAATCGCTAGAAAAAGGATGTGCATCAGCACCAATCCTATCCCGCCGGGCACGCCCCATAATACGCAGCGAACAGGACTGTGCCTTAGGTTTTCAAACAAAATTGACATGTTTGAGAGCTAAACAGCCCAGCTTGAATGTGTCTAAATACTGAGTGCTCTTAATAGCTGACGGGAAACTCATCGATAACTTGAAAGCTAACAACAGAGTTACTTTTGTTAAATTCTAGCCCTCGGAGGGAACAGATCAACCGCCACTTTCTTAGATATTCCATGATTTCTACAGCCAGAAACGCAGTTACATTGCTCGCAAGTTATGAAAAACAAAGGAAAGTACTGCAAGGGAATTCCGAATAAGTTTTTTAATGCATGATGCTTGTTATGAGGCCCTCGAAGATAGGTTTGCTCAAATACTTCTTTAGCCATATGGGCTCTTGTAATGAACAATTACAAGTTCCCATACCAGTAGCGGTGGGTAACGATGAAACGAACAATGGTTTTTCCTTGTACAAATTGGATGAATAAGAAAAGAGTTCTACTTGAACAAAATATCAGTTTAGGCACCCACTTCATATAAACTCGATCTGAACGCCGTTCCGAACAGAATCAGAGCACGGTTACCCCTGGGGAGAATTCTGCAAAATACAACCTCCCTGCTCGAAAAATTCCCTCTCCGGTACCCCCTCCCTCATCCTACCTTCCTACCACTTTTCCACAACCTTACCAAAATTCTCCAACTTCCTGCAAAAAACTACCGTTTAGCGAGCGGGGGAGGGGGGGGGGTATAGCGTGATAGCGCCACGAAATGGAGAAAAAAAACGAGAAAAGTCTCAACAACCAGATTACATTTTTCAAAGCCGAATGCCCCCAGCGACCGAAGATGACCCCCCTCGCTGAGATTCACCAACGTACGGAGTGCCTCACGGGGACACGAATATGCATATCGCTTCACTTCCACTGATGGCAGAGGCTGGTCTGAGATTGTGATTGAAGTGATTAAAAAGAAAGAATGGCACAGAATTCCGAAAAAAAAACGAAAAAAAAGAATTCCGTGCGTAGTTTAGCCAAAGTAGTACGATACTGCTCATACAGCTTGACAGAACCAGGGATATCATAAATATAAACTCTTCATTCTTGGTAATGAAAAACCGGTAAGTAAACAGGAAACAACAACAAGAACGAACAAAAAAAAACAATGAAGTGCAAGGTAGAAATGGAGGTTACTTGTCAATCTGGTGGAGATTCGTCTGACAAAATCATAAAATAAAGCAGCAGTATCGTAGAAAAACGATGAAGTGTCGCGATAAAATGCAAAAATAGGAAATCAGCACATGGGACGTTCAATGCTCAGCCAAATGGAAGCAACACATGAAGAACATTACAAGAACCAGTGTTAAGACACTAAGGCTTGCTGGAAAGGTAGAGTTCCATGAGGTATAGTGGAGAAAAGCAACGAAAAGAAAGAGGGCAAGTTTTGAGGTCACAGGAAGGTTTCGCAGCTGAATAATTGCAATGACTGAGTTATTGTCGATGGGCCAATTCTCAATTACATGATGTGTATGAGCTCTGAGAGACATCGACTCCACAGCAAAAACAAGCTCGCAGAATATAAACAACGAACAGGTATGTACTTGAGGAAATCACCTGAAAAAGGAAAGCATCAAAAAAGTATAACAAAAGATATACCTGCCTCTCCGCATAATATCAACAATACAACACAAAGTGAGAAACTCGATTACATCCTGGTTTTGACATTCGATCCGACTACTGCTTCAGAGCCAATCATGGCGCTCTCCTGACTTTCGTTTTCTTCATGAACCGTATCCAGTGGTCGGTGAGACGAGTTGAAGGCGCAAAATGAACGGTTCATGTTATTATTTTCACTGCAAGAAAAAAAAATTGGTGGACTACGGGTAGCTTAATTTCGGAAACTGCTGCCACTCTCACTTCAAAAAATGTAATAATGTAGTGAAATAATAAACAGAAAACACCTTGCTTCTGATGCAAAGCTGACATTCACTTCTTCAGAGAGCAAAGACAGTGAGTGATCTTCTGCAAACAAAAAATCGTAGACATCTTATGCTGCACAAATCTAACGCTGACGGCCTAGCGATATCGCGCACATAGTTTTCACATCCCACATCAGAAGTCTGTGGATTACTTGTATACACTTGCGCGTTACTGAGCGTAGTTCAGGACATCCGAACTGCGACACAGCTCGCAAAGTAGGAGAGTATTTTCTGCCTAGTTGACCTTAAGGGCTGTAACACTGAATCACTTGCGAAGTACCGCTCACGCAATGCAAATTCGCTTTTTTTGCGAGGCTCGAATGATGAATAATGTGATGAAATGCACCCCAAAATGTTCTGATCATTAGTCATCTTTATTTCATGCATACCCGTTTTTTCGCGATCCTTACCAGTTAGTGAATCACATAAAAACAGTGCATGAAGAACAAAATATAATCGAACCTCCTTCAACTTTCTTCGTGTAACTGCGCAACGTCGGATTTTCATTGCATCTGTAGCTGTGCCAGCTGCGATTACCAACGCTCAGCCGTGTGAGAAAACCCTCTAAAAAGGCAAATAGCGTAGCACAAAATGTGGTCAAGCAAATCTTCCCTACGATTGATCGTGCTGAAATTCACTTACGCTTGATATTCAAGCGTTCGTTTGACTTGGTTGTGTTAGAGTTCCGATCTGCAAAGGCTTGGTTAGGCAGTGAAAAACATGAATGAACATAATAACGATGGAGTCGTGAAACCCCGTAAGAATATGTAGGTTGGTCTCATTGAAAAACTCAAGTTCAATAAAAATCTGACCAAAATGGCCTCACAAATGAGCACAAAAATGTGATAAGCTATGCACTGCTGACCACTAACCATTCTAATCCTTTACTGGACAGCGATCAGATTCCAAACTATGGTGCAGAATCCGTCAAGATCAACCACAGAGATTCATCGTTTAGAGAGGAACACAATTTTTAGGCATCATTCAAAAACGTGGAGGCATATAGAGTAATGGTAGGAAAGCAAAATGGATAGGGCTGCGGATTACCAAATCGCTTGAGGCTAGCAACTTAAGCTACGTATAGTCGAAATTCGGAAATTCGGCCAACCTAACCACAGAAGAGCTTCTCGAGAAATTGAAAAGAAACCCGAGCGGTCAAAATCAGCGCTGGATTATGGAATCGGGCGTCATACGGGGAAAATGAAGGGCACAGATTCATCCTGTGCTGGACCAATAGTATAATGCGTATAATGGTGTTCTCGAGAAAGAATGTGCAGCATTTAGTTCAGAATTACAAGAAAGTAAGAAGTGAGAACAAGTACGAAAAAAAGGAAAAGAGAAGAGGGGAAAAGGAAAAAAAGGAGTACGAAAAAGTTGTGACCGAGGAGAGTCCCATAATGTAACTAGTGCACAAGAAAAGAGGGTGGATGAAGTCAAGCGTTGAATGTCTGATCACAGTGACTGGACCGTGGTCAAGCTCCTCCGCGAGACAGACACTCCTGCTAAACGTTGCCCGAGTTACGTCCGAGAAATTGAGGACGGTCAAGTGGGAGTGTGTCTAGGTTCCTCATTTTCTTGTAGAAGCCCGAAGCAGAACTGATTCGATGCGTGTAGCAGTGTTCTGCACATAAGACATCAGTTACAACCGGAGTGAAAACACACCGGGGCCCAAGACGAAATATGGGTGGTCTTGTACTTCGGGCCGAAATTCACAAGTGTCGATGCAGATAGGAAGCCGTCCGAGTTCTGTCATCAGGAGTTACGTGGGCCCAAGCGGATAATTTTTATGACAATGTATTTCCGCACTGTGGCCTCCAAACGGCTCTATAAAGAAACAAAAAAAAACAAAACCATCGCTGTCCGCGTATATTATCGGCTCCTCGACAATCAGATCCACAAATGAATGATGCCACACAACTTCAAGAAGGCCATCATTGTTCGTCACAGTGCCAAATTCCATAAGAGTAACCATATTACTGCGCAGTGCCAGAACACAAACAATACTAGGAGCTGAGTTCAGTCACCTTATTCGGCCGACCTACAGCCGTGCAATTTCACCTGCTCTGGTCAGTCCAAGACACTGCGACGTTCTGTTGTTCACCAAATTGGCATCAAGAGCAATTTACACGCCGTTGTAGAAAAAACGAAGGTGCTTGTGGTCAACGTCTCCGGGGCACTGGGAGCGGATCATTGATAAATGAGGCAACAACCTTCCACGTTTTCGAATGGGATGACCCAATACTTCATTGAACCGGAAGAGCGGACATGGACTTCAGTCAAATACGTAGTCGAAAGATGTGGAGTGCCAGCATTCGAAGTGGATTTATGTGAGCGAGACAAATGGACAGGAGGTCGGAAAAATACGGCCCATCAGGGAATCTCTGAGATTCTCAGAAGAGCAGAGAGCAGTCGGTGCAACGCGAAGTCGCGCATTGTCATGCACAGCACAATGATGCGCCTCGTCGGCAGTGGCACCCAACTCGCGGTGCTGCCTGAGAACCGCAGCACCAATTCATGGTCTCCAGTGGGATTTTCCTACGAATAATATCCTAGAAGCAGCGGAGGAAGAACCCTTGAGATGGTATGGATTTTCGTTGAGACGGTGGCAGCTGTGTAACTCTTTGAGTAAGCCAGGTGGGCAGTAAAGATCGTCCAGCGCAACTTGCTTGGTGGTGGCAGCCGACTGACGTGCTCATTAAGGAAGAACCCGCGATTACTCTCCATCTCATATGGTGGATTAGGGGGTTCTATTAGGTTGTTCGAAAAGTCCTGCGACACTTTGGACCAAATTTTTCGCACTAAATTTTCTGTCACTAAAAGACATCTCCAATCTACAAGGTAACCATAGTTGATGACTAGGACTAGTGCCCTTCTTTTGCACAGCTTCTCATTTCCATTCTCATAGAACTACGGCAACTATGATAAAAAGAAGAGGTGGACCTCATTCTCGAGTTGAGGTCGATTTTCGGGCTTTTTGCTCTTCAAAGGATGCAATAGGGACCAAAAGAGGTGATAATTAGAGGCCGCTAACTTTGCTGAATAACCTGGGTACGGTAACCTAAACCTAATATATAGACGACAAGGGGTTGAGTAACTCGACTGTGAACAAAAAAAGCACAAAAAACATGCCACCTGCCCTAGATAGAACCCCATTTCGATCCCAGTTTGTGCCCAATCAACTCTATCTCCAAAACTACGCCCTCATATGCACGGCTGATTCACCGATAAGATTTCTACGATCGTACAAGTGGCGATTATCATGCTTTTTCGTCCTGCAATCTCATTTTTCACTGGAAGTCGGTCATTAGGGGCGGAGTCTGGAGGCGGAGTCACTGGAAAAAAGGAGGAACCTATATTGCGCTACAGCGCCCCTCCCATAGAATTTTTTGCCGCGAAACCGGTACAAGGTTGTTCGTCGCGGACCACTCTAACCTCCTGACGCCATATTTTCAACTTCGATACCTGATCGCGGACCGTGCCTTTAAAAATAGAAAAACCACTCGGAGGAAACATCCGTTCACTTCGTAATGACTAATATATTTCTGAAGACACGATGCCCTTTTACAGCTGAGAGTCGACGGCGACGGCCCGATGGTTCTTTAAGGCAGCCCAAGCGACTGGAAAAACTAGCCACTCCAGGTTCGTAAATATGAAGATTCTATAAAATGCAAAGCGACAAGAAGCTAACTTCAGTATTACCGCCACGGTACCGTAACCCAAAGCGGCGCCCTTTAAATTATAATTCTGTCGTAGGCGCGTTGAAAACATCAGCACGGACGCTGAAACTACGCCTGTGATTTTCTTTTTCCGGGTGGGAGAGAACGGATGTGTGTTTCGGATATTGTTGTGAGGATTTCGATGTGGAGATAGGCCTGATCTATCTTTCTATTACCATTGCGTCAAGCACTTTGACGGTGCTGCACGCTTGATGCTAACCAATGTGGGATAGAGACGGCTTTCCAAGTTCGCTGTAGTAAACAATAAATTGAGGTGGTACTACGGTCGACTTATTAGCCTCATCGCCTCGAAAGGTGGAATAGGTGGTAATTGCATTGGTCGCGTTCACAATTTACAACATTTCAACCTGGGAATAATTTTTTTCTCCCAAAACCTAGTTACAAATTGTGCAATCATCTTCTGAAGTAGAACAAACATTACTGTGGAATTAGGGAGCCAAAGTTGAGAGGGGAACTGCTTGGGCACAGTTCCTCTGTAACACCGCCAAGATATGACGGTAAATTATGTTAAAAACTTGCCATCAGAAACGTTGTCTACAAGAGTATATTTGGTACTGCCAGTCACGATCCTGACCCTGAAGTTTCTTGTCAGCACTAATAACCAAGTCGTGTTTATACTCGTGACCCAGGATTACCTCTGCGCCAAATGATACCGTCACAAAAAATGTCACGTCAAAAAACAAGGCATTTAAGGGGACTTTTTTTTTTTTTCCTCCCTACTTTTTTTTTTTTTTTT